AGGAGGTGGCCGCCCTCGCCGGGGAACTGGAGCGGCTCTGGGGGGGCCCCGTGCCGCCGGCCCCGAGGACCCTCATCGAGGAGCTGCCTGGCTGAACGGAGACCGGTCGTTAATAAAGCTGTGACGGGCCTGCCGTGTGGGCAGTGCCCATGTCTCTTCTTTTTTCCTGAGTCGGAGTCTCACTCCGTCGCCCGGGCTGGAGTGCAGTGGCACGCTTACGGCCACCACAGCCTCGACCTGCTGGACTCCGGCGATCCTTCTCTCTCAGCCTTCCAGGTAGCTGGAACTATGCCTGGCTAATTTTTTGATTTATTGTAGCGATGAGGTCTCCCCAAGTTGCCCGGGCTGGTCTCGAACCCGTGGGCTCAGGCAGTCCTCCCACTTCGGCCCCCCTAAGTGCTGGGATTATAGGCGTGAGCCACCGCACCCGGTGACAGTGCCCGTTTCTCCTATTTCTTTTTTTAGTGAGGAAGCAGGATTTATTGAGAGGATAGAGAAGCTCCCAGAGTGGGAGGGGACCCAAAGGGGTCGTTTCTGAGTGACAGCTGTCGTCTCCCCGACACCACCGCTGGGCTTCTCCTGGATCAGGGCTGACCCAGCCCGTCATAAACACAGTGGCCCCAGGATTGGGGGAGAAGCACACCGAAGGTTCCACATGTTTTGTTCAAAGAAGTCAGAGCAGCACCATTTTCGGCCGCTGGCTCATTTTCTCCTTGTCCCAGACCATCTCTTCTGAAGCTGTTAGGTCTGCCTGGTGGCGCTCGGCCAGGTGTGTCCAGGGTCCTGGTCCTGGGCGCGCTGGTGGGTGGGTGAGCCCATGCCCGGCCAGGGCAGTGGGACCCTCAGTAGATGTAGGGCACGATGCGGTAGGGCACGCGCCGGCAGTACTCACGCCAGGCCAGGCCGTATTTCTGCAGGCACTGGCGCTCGTCCCGGGCCTCGCGGTGTACCAGCAGCGCCGCGAAGTAGAGGAGGTAGAAGTAGGGCAGCAGGTGGGACACCCCTGCGGGGAGGCTCTGTGACCGCGCTGCCGCCCGTTGACAAAGGTTTCGGCACCCAGTGGTTCCTGAGGGCACTGGGCGGGCGGCAGCCAGGCACATGGGAGGCCGGCTCGGAGGTGTGTCCCAGCCACCCTCTGGGCCCATCCACTGCTCCCTGACTCCTCCCTCCACTGGGCCCACCCACACTGGGCATCCCGTGGTCACTGCACCACCTCTGTCCCTCGCACCCCTGCCCATACCCACCCAGGCCACTCACCGCAGGGCAAGGACCAGGCCAGCGCCATGATGAGATCGCCCAGGTAGTTGGGGTGGCGGACCATACCCCACCACCCGGACACCAGCAGCTGCCGCCCTGTGGCTGTGGGGATGGTCTCAAGGCCTGGTGAAAGACAGGAGCGGGGTGGGCAGCTCCCAGGAAACCTAGCTGCCCCACCTCGCCCGTGGCGCCCCAGAGACCCGGCTCACCAGCCACTCTGGGGTCAGTAGGATTCTTCCGGAAAGTGTTTTTCTGGGAATTCGCCCCGCGGAAGATGTAGTAACCAACAGCTAGGGAGAGAGCAAGCAGGTGTGCACGGCTGATGGTCAGAGCGCTCTGTCTGCCCCGACCATCCACTCAGCCTGTCCACAGCCCAGACTCTGCCTGGTCCCCAGCTTTAGAGAAGCCCCTGGGGTCAGCACCTACCCAGTAGGTGTTACGAAAATGGCGAGTGGATTAAAAGGAAGGGGACAGGCTGGGCCCAGCTCGCTGCCCCTGACTGACCATTGATGAGGCAGATGACGGAGGCCATGGGCAGCTCCAGGGGCTGCGGGTGGTACAGCAGGAACTGGGCCTGCAGGCTGTAGGTGAAGGGGACCCAGGCGAGGTCCCCAAAGGCCAGCATGAAGCCAAACCCGTCATGTGTGATGTCCATGGTGGTCAGGATGGCCTCCTGCAGGAATGGGACCCAGACATGCTGGCTTAATCCCCACGAGGTCCTCAGACAGCCTCCTCTGCCTCCCTGGCATGGTCCCGTCTCACCTCATGCCAGAGGGCATCACCCACGTAGAGTAACTGGAAGCCATTGACCAGCCACATGGCCAGCGAGGGCCTCCCCCACAGCTCTACCTCCCGCACCAGCAGGGCCAGGTTGATGAGGACCTGAGGGAGGGGGGACAGGACAGTCACCTCCACGGAAGTGGCAGCCCAGCCACTGGCTGTCACAGACACACTCCAGCCCTTTGTTGAATGCTTCCAGGCCCTGTTCCCAGGAGCACAGGACTGGCGGGGGGGAGCCTGCTTCTCTGTCCCGTCATGAGCCCTTGCAGGGAACAGCCCTGGGGGCAAGTGACTGTTCAGCCTCCAGAGTTCAAACAGGCCCAATGAGTTTTGTCACCTCAGCAGGTTGTTTACCCTCACTCCAAGCCTCGTTTCCCCACCCGCGTGTGGAAAATGGGGGTAATCCCAGACCCGCCTTGGAACTGGCTGAGGACTTGGTTTTGGGTGTGTGAAGCACTGAGCTCAGCATACCTGGCCCTTGGCAAGAGCTCAGCAGTGGCTAGCTGCAGCCAGCCTGCACTGGGCACCTGCGTTTTACACTGAGCTCAGTTCCGGCATTACGGTTACCCCTTCTAATCCTCACAAGAATCTCAGGAGAAAGCATCCATTTTGTTCCCATTTCACAGAAGAGGACATGGCCTCAGAGGCTGTCATGCCTGCAGTCAGGCCAGGGTCCAGGCCCATGTTGGGCACATGGCACTCCTGCCTCTGGATGAGATTGTTTCCAGGGTGATATGTCAGACCTTGCCCAAAAGTCCCTTTGGCTGATCTTGGCTACTGTCCAACATGGGTCCACACGGCTGGGATGTTGCCAAGGCCACCAGTGACGGATGATATGGAAACCCAGAGACCAATTTTAGGTTCTACTCTCTCTGCCTTGGCCATCAGGCAGCCAGGATCATGCTGCTGAAAACAGACTCCGCGCTTCACCACCCTGTTTGCACAGGTGATCTTTCCACCCGCATTCCTTACTCCTGCTTTTCTTTTTGTTTTGTTTTGTTTTTCTTGAGTTGGAGTCTCACTCTGTCGCCAGGCTGGAGTGCAGTGGAGGGCCCCGGCCACTGCAGCCTCGACCTACTGGGTTCAGGCGAACCTTCGGCAGCAGCCTTCCAAGTAGCTGGAACTATAGGCACGTGTCACCATGCCTGGCTATTTTTGATTTATTGTAGAGACGCGGTCTGGCCAAGTTGCCCAAGCTGGTCTTGAACCCCTGGACTCAGACAATCCTCTCACCCTCGGTCTTCCAAAGTGCTGGGATTACAGGCTTGCGCTACCGTACCCAGCCCTGCTTTGCTTTTCTCCATAGCACTGGTCATTCCTGACATGCTATTGTACTTTTTTAATTGTTGGCCTGTCTTTCCCACTAGAATGTAAGCTCTGTGAGATGGAGGTTGGCCTGTAACATGTTTGTTTCTGCAGAGCAGTGCCTAGGGCAGGGGTGGACTCAACAAATGTTTGTGAGGTCTGATTGAGAGTGACTCACGTCTGCGCGATTTGGGTCCCGTCCTGCCCGGGCACGGCTCACCCACCCGCCCCTCGACCCGTCCGGTGGCCAGCTCCGTCGGGCCCAGCATACCCAGCCGATGAGGCCGGGCCGCAGTTCGCAGAAATATTTGAAATCAAAGGAACAGATGCGAGGATTGAGCTCCCGTCCCAGGAAAAAGTCGTAGATTGGGTTGCCTGGAGAGTAACAGGGTGGGGCGGGGGTGAAGGTGCAGGTAGGCGCCTCCGTCGGCCTTGGCCCCGCCTCCCGGGACCCGGCTCACCTGAGCTCCCCCCGGGTGCCAGGGCCGAGACCGGGGCCGCCAGGGCCTTCACGTAGAGGAAGAGGCTGAGGACGAAGGCTGTGAGGGTGGCTGCAAACGCCAGGGGCAGGAGCATCTCCGGGAGCGCCCCCAGGGGCAGCCCCGCGCACGCCCCCAGCCCCACCAGCAGGGCTGTCAGCGCCAGGGCCTGGAAGCCTGAACCACCGCACGCGTGAGCCCAGGGCTGCGCCCG